GGGACTCACATTGTGGTCACCTTGCCCCAAGTTACCCATCTCCTGAGCTCCTGGCCCAGGGGAGTGACTCCTTGGGAGGGCACTGAGCTCATTTCTGCTCCATCCAGGATGCTCCTGCAGCATTTGGATCTGTAGCTGAGGGGCTTGCTGGCACCAAGCAGGGTGTGGGGCAGTGCTGAGCCTGTCCTGCTGACCTAATGTGGCCCACCAATGGGCCAGTTTGATTTGGAGTAGCTGTGCGAGAGTAGAAATATGGGATCCCCCACTGAGCCCCTGAGCATCTCTGTTTCTGGCTATAAACCTCCTTCCAAGGAGGGGTCTTTAGAGCCCAGGGCCCAGATGATCCACAAGCCAAGCCGCAGCCATCCCCCGCCCCCTCCCCGAGAGGAATTGCTCTCACACAAATGAAATGTGTGTAATTAATGGGCAGGGGGCTGGACAGGTCCCAGATGAAAGCGTTTCCTGGACTTGTCCTTCATTTGCATGGTATCAGAAGCTGTTCAGAAGGTGTGACTTTTCCCACAGGGAGCCCTCAGCTCGGTGGCACAATAAAGCCAGGACTTCTTACCCAGAATTAATTAAAGGAGGGGGAGGGGGATGGCAGGGACATGTTTGAAAGCTGAGCCTGATGCAATAAACAAACACCCCAGTCCTTCTTCCCAAGCTGGAGCATGCCCAAGGGGGCCCAGGCGAGCCCCAACCCTGCCACAGCATCACGCAGCCCACCCTGCTCGGTGGGCACCCTTCCCCGAGGAGACCCCGCAGCAACGTTGTCATGGGTCAGCCTGTGGTGATGCCCACCCGTGTCTGTAAAGCCAGAGAAGGGACGGGAGTGGAGACAGCATGTGCTGAAAGGTCTGGGGCTTGGTGGATCATGCTCTGCTGCAGCCCCTGCTCAGACAGCACAGACCCCTTTTCTTGCCATTTACTCCTGCCTGGCTACTCTCTCTCTGCCATAACCACATTTAACCTGAAAACAGCTCTTCTCCCTGCCTGGCATTGCCCTGCTGTGTTCATTCCACACTTCTTACCCCGTGTTGGCTGGCTGGACCAGATGGACTTCCCGGTCTTGTCTCGCAAGGCAGATTCTCCCAAACGTCACTCAGCTCCAGCCTGGTCGCTGCGTCCAGACGGCATCACGTGGCAAAGTCCCATACAAGACACGCATGCCCTGGTGCTTGGAGCTCAGGATGAGGCAGCCATCCCTGTGCCACCAGCCAGGGCCGTACGGCTCCTCTCCTGCTTCATCCACCACCTCCCTCCAGGCAGGCAGCAGCAGCAAGGGGACAGCAGGGTGACACTAGGAGCGGTGGCACTAGGGACAGTCCCATCCCCATCACAAGGACTTTGCTAGCTGGGAGCAGGGGTTTCTGCCCAAAGCACCCATGCTAACAGCACGAGCTGATGGAAGCGAACACCCACCTCCAAAGCCCCCACGGTGCTCTCCTGGGTCCAGCCCTGGCTCAGTGTTCCACGGTCCCCAGGGCATTTGGGTGACTGTCTCCAAGCTTGGTCCACACACCAGCTGATGATGAAGGAGGTGGGAAAAGGTACAGATTCCCAAGTTGATGATTGACCCTGTGTGTTTTACTAGCATCCAGGGTTTCTGCATCCCGGGAGATACAGCAAGTGCCACCCGGGACTGTCTCCATCTCCCTGCATGTGTGGTGGGAGATTCCAGCCCTGGACGACCACACGCTCCGGACCCTACAGGACCCAGGTGGCTGGGAGGAGCACAAGCAGCTCCAGCCATGTCAGGGACTAAGCAGTATCAGTGCAGAGACAGCGTATGAGGAGCCATTAATTAATTCACTTATTCATTAACTAACTAGTAGTGGCCTCTTTAATCTTCCAAGAAAAGGCAGAACAACATTTGCTGGCTGGAAGCTGAAGCTGGACAAATCCAAGCAACAGACCAAGCCCCAAGTTGCAATGCTCCTAAGCAGCATGGTCACCCAAAAGCCCTTTAATGACAGGGAGCTAATTAACCATGGACCAACTGATCTGGGAAAGCAGGGTATCCCTTCCCAGGAGCCAGCCTTTTGCAAAGGCAGGATGCAGCTGAGCAGAAGGAAGGAGCTGGGGGTGGTGTGCGGTGCAGAGCTGTGCAGGGGCACAGAGGTGCTGGGTGTCCCCTGCTCCAGCCCTCAGCTGCACCCGGGGATGGCAGGGATGAGGGAACAGCCTTACTGGAGGCTGAGCACCCACTCCATGCTCTTCCCTCCCACTGTTGCCCCTGGGGGACAGAAAACAAGGGAGGGGACTGCTGATCTGCACAGAACCAAGTCCTGCCCCTCTGCTACCCTTACCTGGAGCAACAAACCAGCACCAACTCACCCATGTTCACAAAACCATTAGGAAAAGCAATTAGATGAATTAATGAAAGAAAAGCACCCATTAAGGACTATCAAACACCACCCCTGCCTGGGGAAAGGCAGGGAACCATACACATTTACTTCCTGCAGTCTGGAGACCACAAGTGTCTCCTGCAGCCCTTGGGTCCCTCCTGGGACAGCCGGGCGACACCGTCTGCCTTAAGCAGCACTGTCCTACGGCCCCAGCATCACCCACGGCCTCTGTGACCCAGCAGCGACGCTCGAACACAGAGCACAACCGAGCGCTCCATCCCCACGCTTCCCTCCCTGAAGTTACCAACATCCACTGACAGCTCAGCCCAGCCCGTGGGGCTCATCCTCGTGCCCCGCGCGCAACACCCTGGGCACCGAGCGATGCCGCAGGCACCCCCGGGGATGGCAGCACCAGTGAGAGTCTCACCCTGTGAGGCTGCTCCATTCCTGCACTTATTTTTTTAAGAAACATATTTAAAAATTTCATTCTTGCATCCTTCCACATCCAAGACCACTCTGTATCCTGGTCATCTATCAGCCCCTCTGAGCAAGATCCAGCACCTCGGCAGGGATGAGTATCCAAAGGAGGGGACGCAGCAACCCGTCATGCACAGACACCAAGCTCATCCGGAGCAGAAGAGGCCACATAGCAGATTGCTTTCTTGGAAAACCTCATCCCATGCCGAAACCAGTGGTCGAGGCTACACTGCGCTATGCCCCCACCCAGCCTGCAACGGGCCTGTCCCCACGAGGCAACGAGGTGGCATCTGCCCGTCAAACCTGGCGTTTGCTGCAAGGAGAACCATGATTTCCACAACACTCATCTGGGACCAAAGATCTTGGGCCATCCTCCCCCATCTGCTCCCTCGGGCAGGGGCTCACAGCAAGTGGCAGCCTCGGCCCCATCCCGCACCTCACCATCCTCCTTTACTCTTCTCCAACCTGCCTCTCCAGCCCCAGCCCCTCCCTGGAAAGCATCAGGCTCAGGTAGACTAATACAAATTTTTAATGCACATATTAAATAAATATTTCAATCATTTCATATTCAATTTGTACACAACCAAAACAAAACAAAAATCCTCAAGGAAACAGAAAAAAAAAACCCAAACAATCAAGAAAGCTTGGATGAAAAGTCACCCCTGGTTCTGCCTCCTATCCAGTGTCTTTGTTTGCCCTCCCCATGAAGGATAATTGCTTTAACCCTTTGGAGAGAGTCCCAGGGCAGCATGTGCAGAGCGGGGCTGGCTGGGGATGTTCACTCAAGAGATTTTATGTTTCCTTTGTGGCTTTTTTTTTTTTTTTCCCCTAAATCAAAACTTGGGCTTCTGTCAGCACAAATTTCGAAAGAACGTCTTTCCTTTCACAGTAGGACAAGGACAGCGGCATTTCTCACCAAAGAGCAAACCTGGAGGAGAACGTTGACAATGGAAGTGCCAACCACAAACTGAATATTACAACAAAACCAGCCCGAAATGGCCCCACAGTAATTTGTAAACATCTTTTAATTTTACGGATGAAAACTTCCATCTGATAAAAAAATATAAACAGGGGAAAAAGTTATCAATTTTTGGTAAGAAGTTCACATTTTCCACATGGAAAAAAAAAAGGATACCAGTTACCAGCCCGCTCCACGGTGGCCGTCGCCCGCTGCCTCACCTTAGTAGCCGAAAACCAAACAAATGCCAAAGATGCTCTCGTGGGTTAGAGGTACCGAGTCAGTTCGGGACTTTCTCTGGGGCATCCATCACCCCTGTCCCCTCCTGAGAAAAATCACAAGTTGGGAAGCCAGCAGCGTTCTCTGAAGGATGCCAGCGGCTTCCAGCAACCCCTGGCTCAGCCGAAGAAGCAGGCACATCCGAGGAAGGAGAGCATCCAGCAGTTCTCACCCCGGGCGTCGCAGCCAGCCCCCGCAGCAGCGCCCACACATCACCCAGGTGGTGAAACCCACCTGGGAGGTCTCCAACCACCTCTAAAATAAATCCCCTCCCCTTAATTGTTTTCCGACCTCTCCATTTTCTCCAGTAAGCGTTAATTCAGTTCATTTAAGTAGCACAACGCTCCCAGATTTGGGTTTCCATTTTTTTTTTTGTTGCTAAACAGTGATTTTTCTTCTCCTTTCCCCCTAGAGCTACAAAAAACAAGAATTACAAAATAACGCGACCCCAAAAACAGACTAGAACATTTCTAAGCGAAGGGCTCTTCCCCCTTCACCAGTCTTCGAACGTTTCATATCTCTTAAAGTTGGAGTACAAAAATAGAGCCTTTCTTCTTTTTTTCCTTTTTTTTTTTTGTTTTTGTAAAAACCAAACAAAGCCCCCAGAATCATCAACGACTAGAGCAAGTAATTTTTTTTTTTTTTAATCCTCCTCCTCCCCCCTTTCCCTTTTATTCTGTGTGTGTTTAATACCCATACGCAGAAGTCCCTACATACAGTCCACCAAGCCGGGCGGCGAGTCCCCCGGGAGAGGTGCTGGCAGGGCGGGCAGAGGCAGGCAAGTCACGGGCCTGCCTTGGCGCTGGAGTTTCTAGTCCTTTTACTCCTCCGGTTGAAGGGGTAGTTGAGGAACTCAAAGCGTCTGTGGGGCTCGGTGGTCTGGTGGCCCTTAGGAAGCCTCTTCATGAAATGCACCTCCCGCTGATGCTGCCGGGTCTTGGAGCCCTTGCGCGGGCGGCCCTTGCGGGTGAAGGCCATGTACCAGCCCTCGTACTTGGCGTTCTGCAGCGCCGTGTAGTTGTTCTCCAGGACGATCTCCGTGAAGACGCAGTCCTTGCCTTTGCCATTGCTCTGGGAGGGGGACAGAGGTGGGATTTAAGGACCATTCAGAGGCTTCTTCTCGCTACCCCAGGCTGGTCCAGCATCATGCCAGCACCAGGCTGCAAGCCCGAGCGTCGGCAACCCCCAGCTTATCCCTTCCACAGCACCCGTAAGGGGATTTTCCTCTGCTCCCATCCTGTCCCCATCCATGCCAGGGGCTGGATTCCCCCGCCAGCATGACCACAAGCAAACTCTCCACCTCAGTGGCTGCTCACCCACCCATCCCACTATTTAATACAGTAAGGGCACCGAGGAGCAGGAGAGGTGATGTGGGGTCTGTGGGGACGATGCTCACAGATACAGCTGGAGGCTGAGTTCCTCCCTGTTACAGGCAGCAGCAGGACCAGGGAGGGGAACTGCACCAACCAGCCCCAGGGAAGGAGCTACCATGGAAAATCCTCACAGACAATCGCTATCCCAGAGGGATTTTGCACATCCAACCTCCTCCGCTCCCAGGGAGGGTGCATCGAGGATTGGAGGGAGCGTGACTAACTGGTACACGGCAGGGCCTGGCCTTGAGGCCAGCCCCACGGAGCATCTTAACATTCCTGGCACTTGTACCATGTAATCGGGGAGAATAGCCCAGCAATCTGCCTATTTGTTCAGGGAGATACAAGGAATGCACCCCACACCGCACCCGCCCACCTCCCCTGCTCTCCCCCTTCCCTCCCACCTCCCAGGCTGCAGGATGGCTCATCCCCACACCCCCCAAAGGGGTGCACAGGCTGAGCCCCTGGGACCCATATCCCACATCCACATTCCCATGGATGGTCTCTGTGTCAGGTAAGAGCTCCTAACAAGCCCCGCTCAGCACCCACAGCGCATCCCTGGCCCTTGACAAGCCCCGCTCAGCATCCCTGGCCCTTGTTCCTGGTGGCCTACCTTGCCAATCAGCTTCCCCTTCTTGTTCATGCAGATGTAGAAACCTGTGGCTGCCCCCTTGATGCGCACACGGCTCCCAAAGGTGTCCGTCTCCACGATGAGCTTGGCTGAGGAGAGCAGTGGGAGGAAAGAAAGAGGTGAGGGGAGCTCCAGGGTGGGGCAGGCACAGGGATGGAGACCCCAGAAGTGCCTGACACCGGGCGCTGTGGGCACATGCTAGGCAAGGAGGGCCACAGAGAGCCCTAAAATCACGGTATGAGGTTAAGAGCCAGCCTTGGCCCCTCTCTCCTGCCACTGTGTCCCTGCATGACCCTGGTCACATCCCTTTGCCCCCCTGAGCCATGCTGGAGTGGGAG